AAAAAAAAAAAAAAAATGTAAGTTTGATTACTGAGAAAAGCAACAAGGCACATAATTTAAGGAGCCCTTAAAGGAACAGATCACCCAAAAATGAAAATTTGCTGAACATTTATTCACCCTGAGGGCATCTAAGATGTAGATGAGCTTGTTTCTTCATCAGATTTGGAGAAATGTAGCATTGCATCACTTGCTCAGTACTGGATCCTCTGCAGTGAATGGGTGCCGTCAGAATGAATGAGACCAAACAGCTGATAAACACATCACAATAATCCACACCACTCCAGTCCATCAATTAACGTCTTGTGAAGTGAAAAGCCCTCGAGTTTGTAAGAAACAAATTCATCATGACATTTTTAACGTCAAACTGTTGCTTCCAGCTGAAATATGTTTCCATAAACTATAATAACTCTTCCTCCAGTGAAAAAGTTGTCTGGTCTGAATCTGCACAGATCAAGCACTGTTTACAAGCAAAAACAGCTATAAACAAATATGTGGGTGGATTTTGATGCGAAAGGAAAACAGGAGATGGACTTTTTCACTGGAGGAAGCGTTATTATGAATTACGGACTCGTGCTTTAGCCAGAAACAACGGTTTTAAGTTAAAAGTGCCTTGATGGATTTGTTTCTTACAAACATGCAGATTTTTGGCTTCACAAGACGTTGGTGTGGATTATTGTGATGTTTTTATCAGCTGTTTGGACTCTCATTCTGACGGCACCCATTCACTGCAGAGCATCCACTGCTGAGCAAGTGATTCAATGCTACATTTCTCCAAATCTGATGAAGAAACAAACTCATCTACATCTTGAATGGCCTGAGGGTGAGGAAATTTGCAGTAAATTAACTATTCCCTTAATGTCTAGATCACAAGATGTCTGTTCCAATCACTATGAGCAAAAGTAATAGTGATGCTTGCTAAGCAAATGCCGCTAATAGGGAAAGTATTACATTAATCGAAAGCAGACAGTGTTTACAATTTTCGTAAATGTATAATCCCCAGAGCAATCCAAGACAGTCACGAGATTAGTCAGAAAACATCTCGTTCTTCCTGGAAAGTCTCTGGATGTCGCATCCTCTTTGGGCGCAAACATACTGTTCAACACAATCTGTCAGATGTAGAGGGGGAGTCGAAAGGAAAGGGAAAGTGGGCTCAGCGCACAATATGGTTCTGTTTAGGAGTGAGCCGCGTGGGTCTCGGAGAAAGACGACTTTGCCAAGAACATTGCTCCTATCTCATTCCATTGCATTCGCTCCAAGGACGAGGAGGATCGGAAAACACAGCGCAAATAACTTCTAGCACTAAAGGCCCATGTACGTATTTTACATGACGTAGGCGATTTAATCACGAGATGTGCTCAAACACAGTTGCGCGCTGATTTGTCCAATTAACTTTTATGGCATTGGGAACTAATATATTTTAAACAAATCTCCCACGTTTTTTGACTTACTGGGGGATAAAATGAGCACAATAAATGTGAGGGTGATGGAGGCCGTTGTTGAAATTGCTCAGGCAACAAAGGCATCTATGGTTTTTAAACCTGCTGAATCAGTTTGGCAGTTTCAACAATGTTATTGCTCGCATTTGGGTTGCGCTCAGCTGTTTGACCACCCAGGTGGCGCATCGTCCCTAACAGCCAATTAAAATCAGGCAAGCTAGGTAGCAGTAAAGAAACTGAGTGAGAAAACAAACCTTTTCATCTTGTTTGGCTACACTCTAAAAAATGCTGGGTTAAATATAACCCAACCGCTGGGTCAAAACAACCCAATAGCTGGGTTTGTCCCTTTTTAACCCAGCGCTGGGTTATATTTAACCCAGCATTTTTTAGAGTGTAACACTGGATTATTCACCCTTTCAATATGAGGACAACGTGCTGAGCCTGATCTTCCATTGACTTTAGTTTGACTTTTTAGTCATAGCAATGTAGTACATTTTACTTCACTTGTAAGTTATCTTTTTATTAAATTTTTTTGCAAAGTCTATATAAATCATACAGATCAAGATAAATCATACCAAATACTAAGGCAATTTGAAATGTTCGGTTCAACGTTTCACTCAAATAGTGTTGAAAATATAAATGGTCATGAAACATTTTTGTGTGCAAAAAACATGCAAAATAAAATAAACATATACTAAGACAATGTAATACTTTTTAAGTTCAACGTTTCACTTAAATTGTTGTGACAAAATAAATTGCAAAGAAAAAAACATTCACATTTTGTTCATAAAAAATGCAAACAAAAATGCAAAATAAAACTGCTACATAATAATATAATTGGCAACAATTTGAGTTAAACGTTTTGTCTCAGTATATATTGACTACAAAGTTTAGTTCTATAACATTTATAGCTTATTATGTTTATATAGCATTTACAAATATCATTGTTTGTAAAATGTTGCCTTGTGATTGCTGTGGCTATCGTGTAGGCCTCCCTGTTGAAAAAAACAGCATATGCTGGTTAGGTATGTTTTGACGCTGGGATGCTGGTTTAAGCTGGTCCTTTTGCTGGTTTATGCTGGTCATGTGCTGGCAAAGGACCAGCATAAACCAGCAAAGGACCAGCTTAAACCAGCAAAGGACCAGCATAAACCAGCAAAGGACCAGCTTAAACCAGCAAAGGACCAGCATAAACCAGCAAAGGACCAGCTTAAACCAGCAAAGGACCAGCATAAACCAGCAAAGGACCAGCTTAAACCAGCAAAGGACCAGCATAAACCAGCAAAGGACCAGCTTAAACCAGCATCCCAGCGTCAAAACATACCTAACCAGCATATGCTGGTTTTTTCAACAGGGCTATCCTGCCTTTTCAAACATAAACATCATCAATCAATGATTACAAAGAATAATTGTTTCTACTGGGGGAGAAATGTATGGAAAATAATAGTTGGTTGCATTGCAGGGGGACAGTCAGTGGGTTCAAACCCCCTCCTCTACGGTTCTTCAACCAAAGCACCTCCCCTGGACCTATCAGGGTAATTCACTCACTTTTCTCTTTCTCACAAGGGCTACAGTGCAGTTTTCCATTCAGGGGAACATATCCCGTGACAATAACGGACTCCTCCAGGCACTCCAAGACATCTGAGGTATTTCTGCTTCAATATCCTTATTATTCACGCATGGTTTATTTGCATCAGTTTCAACGAAGCGCACATAATATGCAACGCGATTTTAACATTACATGTAGGAAAGAACGAATTTAAGGGCGATTAGGAAGTTGGCTACTTTGCAACATTTAATTTGAACGAAAAAATTCCTTCGTGACGTAAGCCGGCGTTTCTCTCCTTACAGTTTGTTGACCGGCTAACTCATTTAAAACGCAAATAAAACTATTATTCTGGTACATGACTGCATAGAAATAAATTTTAAAGATGAGAAACGTTGTAAAGTTTAGAAACATGAAAAAAATAACTTTAAGAGAGATAACTTTAAACAGTTGGTTAAATACACGTTACGCGTTACATCTGCAAATATCCAATTGGTATTCCTTAAAATAGACTAAAACGCAACAAGTACACTGATTACCAGCGGAATATTGGACGCCAGTCAATGTAATCGCGAAATCTCTCGTAAAGTACAAGCGCGTTTGCCTCGGAAAACTCAACTTTTTTTTTTCTAGCGACTTTTTTTTCTTTTCTTTTCTTTTCTTTACAAAGGATACGCTCACGTGCTGCCATTTTTAACGTCACAATTAAAGTAAAAAATGTTGAATGTGTCCCGGTGTCTGACGTCAAGCGGACGATGTAATTCATAATAATACCTCTGAAAGATGATTGTTGTCGTTGGTGTGTTTTTTTTTTCTTTGTTCGCGCGCCGCGCTTAGCTCCGCCCACTTGAAAACTCCTCAAACTTTCCCTCTCAGATTTGCCAGACCTGTCAAAATCAGATGAACTGTGATCTGTAACTGAAGTTATCTATCATCATCATCATCATCTTATTAAACTAACCACAAGCAGACGCCGTTTTGATGTTAAATAATATTTTAATTAATTAATTTTGCAAATGCTTTTATCAAAGCTACTCAAAATGCATTCAAAGTACATGCTTTATCAGTATAATAGAAATCTATAAATGTATCTATGTATGTATATACTGTAAAAGACTGCTGTTCCTCGTTGATGTTTTTTTCTGTTCACACCACAATTAGACCCGCCCACTTTAAAACTCTTCAAACTTTCCTTCTCAGACTTACTAGACCTGTCATCTTTAGATGGTGTACTGTCATTTATTATCACAATCTTCTCATTAAACCAACTAAGCCTTTCATGTTAAACAGTGTTCATTTTGTGAAATTAAGTTTTGTGTTTTTATCAAAAGCGGCTCACAGTAAAATAAAGTTATATATTATAATCAGCACATAATAAAAGTCTGTGGAGGCATATCCAGTTTACGTTGGTTAAAGAATGTCCTTATTAAGCAGTACGCCCACTTTGCAGAGGTTTAACACAAATATATCATGCTGAAAAGAAAACTATGTTGTTTTGCCACCCCCCTGAAGTTGAAACCAATTTCTGCCATGGTTTTAAATCTTTTGAGGCCCATTATTTACCCTAAAATCTTATTTTAATGAGCCAGTTGAGGACAAAACCAGGAGTCCAGTCTTGGCCAAGAGTTGGTTATTTCTACAGCAAATGCACACTAAGACAGTCTAAGTGGGCCTGTAAAAGGATGCGGGCAGGCGCTTAAGGCAAACCACACGGTTTGCCTGGAATAATACTACACTTTATAAAAAACTCCATCATCGACCGTGGGCGATTTAATGGCTAAATTTATGAGGGGCCACATTTGTTCATATGTTCACTGTATACGCCAAATAGGCTAAGCAGTAAATGAAAGTAATGGTATGCATTTTGTCCTCTCTTTTTTAGCCTTCAGCCGGGAGTGCTCTTGGATCACAAGCTTGAAGTTTGCGTCTGAAGAGCTCATTGGAAAGGAAGAGTTTTATTGCGGGTGAGGCACGTTTAACGGCGCTTCAGGAGTCGCACAGCAGGGGCCAATGGGAGTGTGGAAGCTGGCCAAGGTGGTGCTTGGATGGGCTGCGATCTGGTGGGCCGCGGTCCATTCGGCGCAGGCGCAAGGAGATGGAGACATCCAGGCCAGTCGATTCACTGGAAAACCTGAGGGGGAGGTGCAACAGAGGGTCCGTCGGAGAGGCCAGGAGTCCCTCAGGGGGTAAGAGGTTTTTTTTCAGTCACGTCCTGCTCCTGTACTCTGTCAGTTTCATTCTTGAAGTGGACATTCTAATGGTTTAACCATATGAGTCTGAGGTTTTAACTCAACTTTTATTACCCAAAGTACAGTATATTCATTTGGGGGTTGGTATATCTAATTTTTAAAGCTTGAATTCAAAGCTAGAATCAACTAGCAACCTGTTGTGCTGTTTGGGTTAAAGCCAAACTGGGTTGAAAGCACTATTGGTCCCGTATGTGATAGAGCCAGCTGCAGAAGTGTTGTGAATCTACTGTGAAGGAATTTTAAGTACTGAAATGCCTCAGTATGTTGGTCATGACAACAGGAGCGTCATTTCCTGCTGATAATTTAAGCCGTTGAAAGATATTATTGTTTGGTTATCGTAAATTTTATGTCTATATATTTTCTAGACGAATGCATGGTGTTTTAGGTCTCTAGTTGAAAATTGAGGTAAACACACTTAAATGCATTATGAGAGGAGTGATTAATATGATATGACATGATAGATATTTTTCCAAGCCTTCCAATGCCTCAGCATCTGCTTTTGTCTCCACAAAGCCAAAGCTGTGTATTTTTCTCATTTTTGGGAAAACAATGGTTGTTTTGTGTTGTGCGGCCCTCATATGTTCGAAACAGTTATTTCAATCATCCTCTCATCTGTACTTGCTTATAACTCCCCTGCAAACTGCAACAGGAAATGAGGTATTCTGATTACTCGGAGGGGCTCCAACAAGGGACATTTGTTTTTAAGCTGGAGGTGAGAAAGAGCATTTCACAACAGAGATATGTCTCTAACTCTTGGATCCTTATTTAATCAGGAAAAGGTATTTTCAGCTAAGGTCTGAGACAAATCTAGCAATGTCAAACAGACAATTTGAGTCCATTAGATTAGGACTGTGGTTAGTGGTCCAGTTGAGACTGAAATTCAGAAACAATAGCACCATTCTGTATGTGTACCCCAGTACCAGAAGTGGGACCAATAGTAGTTGACTTGTATTGTACTCAAAAATGAGTAAACTGAACACTTTGGCCAATTTTCCTGGTAAACTAAGAGGGAGTATCTGATCCGGTCAGTGGAGCAGAACCATATGGCACCGAATCAATTGAGAAATGTGTCACAGTACCCTTTTGAGAGACCATGCTAAACACAAACTAGCCCAAAGGGATGTAGGGACTTGCACTGTTTCCAGATTGTTTCCCGTCCAACAGTTCCCTTTGTAAAGGCAAGCTAAACTGAAAGGGTTAGTTCACCCAAAAATGAAAATTAGGCTGTGTTTTACTCACACCCGAGGCATCCTAGGTGTATATGACTTTCTTCTTTCAGACGAATCCAGTCGGAGTTATATTAAAAATTGTCTTTGATCTTTCAAGATCTATCATTGCAGTCAGCGGGTGTTGCATTGCTTCACTTCAAACGAAGTTAAATAAAAAGCGCCCATCCATAAAAAAAGTGTCTCACATGGCTCCGGGGGGTGAACAAAGGCCTCCTGTAGCGAATCGATGAGTTTTTGTAAGAAAAATATCCATATTCAAAACATAATAATCACTTGAATCTAGCTTGCGCTTATTGTTGTAAACGGAAGCAGCTCCGGGGTAATGAGATATGAGGTCAGCTTTGCGCATGCGCCGCTCAGAAGTGACGCACGCGGAAACGCTGCGGAGAGATAAAAACAAAACAACGGTCAAGAATTAGAAGTACAAAACGAGGACTTGTAAAGAGGAATGTCAGAGGATTTCGATAAAAGCCAAGCGGAGACTGGTTTTCCTTTGCTAAAGTAAGGAAACTTTGCTTCCTTTGCTCCTGTTAACAAACGTTGGTTTTCACGAGACGCACCGGCGCATGCGCAACGCTGACCTCATACGTCATCAGCCCGGAGCTGCTTCTGTGTACAACTGTTGGCGCAAGCTACATTAAAGTGATTATTAAGTTTTGAATATGGATATTTTTCTTACAAAAACGCATCGATTCATTACAGGAGGCCTTTGTTCACCCCTTGTTCCCATTTTTTAATGCATGGGTGCTTTTTATTTAACGTCTTTTGGACTGAAGCAATGCAACACCCGCTGACTGCAATGATAGAGCTTGAAAGATCAAAGACCATTTTTAATATAACTCAGACTGGATTCGTCTGAAAGAAGAAAGTCATATTTATTTTATTTATTTATTTATTTAGTCATTTAGCAGACGCTTTTATCCAAAGCGACTTACAAATGAGGACAATTATAATGATCATATACACCTAGGATGCCTCGGGGGTGAGTAAAACACAGCCTAATTTTAATTTTTGGGTGAACTACCCTTTAAAGACTTCTCTCAAATGTTGTTGTCTTAAAGAAAGGTCTAATCACCACCAAGCATCATTTGTAATCCTATTTAACATACCAACACTGTGTAAGAACAGCCCTTAAGAACGCGGAATATAATGATGTTGGACGAAAAAGCACATTTGATCTACTGCCGACCAATCAAGCCAAGTTATCCTGGGTCAGACGGTTTAAGAGAGCTGCAGTAGGATTCGGAGCTTACTGGCTCCCCTTGCTAAGCATAATTTGGCTGTCAGATTGGAGGAGTCTGATCACATTGCATTTGGGGGCCCCTTAAATGAAGGTAAAGTCTGGGAGACTGCTGTAAAAGCAATGGTCTTGGGGTGAGAATATGATTATGTGGTTCTCGATGCCAAACCTGACGAGTTTCGCTGAGTACAAAGCCAGCAGCGTGCTCGGGGTAGATGTTTTTAGAAGTCTTGATGGCTTGGCCAGGGTTTTTCTTCATTTGCTGTACATGTCTCAGAGGCAATGTCAGCTCCGCTAGACTATAAAGATGGGCTCCAGTTCTTTCAGAACGCTTGATGTTTGTATCCCCAGAGAGACTGATTTCTTAGTATTGGATTTATAGTCTTTTAACAGTTAAAAGTACATGCCAGTCAAAAGGAAAACAATCCTTCTTCGACCCTAAAGAGCTTGCTACAAGACATTTTGTTGTGGAATTGTTCTTTGTGGATATACATTTTTAAGTCTAAAAACAGAAAAATGACCTCTGGGCCAACTTAGTTTTAAGGGACTCCACAAACAAAACAAAACAAAAAAAATGAAAAGCAGTATGTTTTTTCTCTTTTCATTTGGGTTTGTCATCTAACTAGTGGAAAGGAAGACACAGATCTGATAAGTGTATCCTTATGTGTGCATAATAGCATGCCCAGAAATTCTTATCGTCTTATCAAATGCACTCATTGTATTGTACCAAACAAGAAAAAACATACCAACTAATTGTTTTCTGTTGTTTATGCCCGATACCATCAGTCGCTCCAGAACTCCGAAGGGTCTTGTGGAGCAGCTAATGCAAGAAAGTGACAACATTTCCACATGGGACTTGTGCAAAGGCATGAAATCATATGGAGCGACCCCCCTCCTCCTTCGTTGCATCAAAAGTGTGTATAGTCTAGACGTCAGTGTGATTTGAGTTCATTAGGGTCAGGGGCTTGAAACAGGTCAAGTTGGACAAGGAAAGGCCGTAGAGATCCAGAGGCTTTACACATGGGATCTTTTTAATGTTAAAACAACCGTGCCATTAACTCATTGGCTCTGGACTGGAGTTAGCAGCAATCCTGGGGGCTGGGAGCAGATGCCTCTAAATTGACCTTTAACCTCTTTAGGAGTGGTAGCCGGTGGGGCGGAATTGTGCTATCTTTGTCTACACCCTCTCTCCTTCGTGAGAGCTCCTGTTAGGTTTTTATGACCTCACTGAGAACTGGCCAGATGCCGTCCAAGCATCCCGATTTCCTATCTCAGTCTTGTCCTAACCTTTTGCATTTCTGGAATTCAGTTTGCGATGGGTTTTCAGGGCTCAGACATCATAAGTAAAGTTGACCTGCTTTATCTGGAGATCTTTGGCAAAGAATTGCTTGCAAATCTCTGGCCTAATGGCTGGTAGACCCTGTAAATGAAAAAGGATTTGACCTAGTGAAGTGAAATGAATTGGTCCATCTAGCTGAAGGAGTCATATGGTCTTTCCAGGTATTTGCCTTGTAGCAAAAAACCCGTTACCAATTTATATCTCTCTTTGAGGTGCTGGTTCATATTTGAGATGTTGGGTTTTGCAAATGTTCTTCATTTAGTACTGGTAAACACAACATACTGCAACTAATATATTTAGTAGTTTGCACATGGATTGCGTGTTTGAAATACTACTTTGTAGTATTCTCCACAGATACTTCACGACCACCCAAAGCAGTATTCCAGCTTAAAGAAGTGTGAACACACTGAAAAGCATAGTATTTAAGAAAGAAGAGATTGGTTTACATCCAGGGATAACCTTCAGACTTCATTTTTGAGAAATAAGACTTTTTGGTCCCACATTGCTGATAATTCATCATCTTCTGGCCTAATTTCCTCTGCTGCTTTTTTTTTTCAGCGGCCCAACCTCCCAACCCCCAAACTTTTCACTTCCACTTGTTATCTTTACCTCCCACTGATTCTTGCCCTTTCCCCAGCATTTTCCGTTTTCGTGTTCCAACATCTAGCCCTCTATCAGCCTCTACTCTTTCTGGTCCTCCACATCTCTCTTGGTTTTTGCTGTTAGCAGTTGTGTCGTCTGGCAATGCGGTTTGAAATCCATCAAAAGATTCAAACTACAAGCTGGTCGTCCCCAGGTGACTGACATTTGTAAACATCTTGACTTGTAGAGGAAAGGAATTTATGTGTGTGTGCGTAGAAAGACAGATGTACCTTGTGGTTTTTTAAAGGTCCATTTACGGCAGGCTTAACTTGGTGCTGATAGAAATAAAACTGTTTTCGCAGTGAGGGTCCAGGTTTGATGGAGCTCCTAAGGGCTTGTTGGAAAGAAACTGGCAAAATGACACGTTCTGAGGGTGATTTGCCTCCAAGCTGTCAGTTACCAGACTTGGTTGTCTTGGATAAAGTCATATAAACAACACTGAGTCCCAAAACATGGTGCTGGGTTTGTTCACACTTAAGCAGAGAAATACTGAACTTTGGGCTTGTTCTTGTCATTAATCACACATATCATGACGAAACAGACACCTTTCTTTGGAACTAACTCTTGGTGTGAAAGTTGCCAAAAAACAGCTCATGGATGAGTGCATTTGGGAACATAAGAGTAGCTTTAGTAAATATTTCTGTCTCAGGAAGTTTAGTTATGGTCGTACTCAAAACAAACTCTTTTCGTGTTGTTTCCCCGGAATGTCCTTTGGGGCGATTGTATGTATTGAGCCATATTTATTGCAAAGGGTCAGGAGGTCTTTGAGACTGTAGATATTTCATTCTGTTGTGTGTTTCTGAGAAACGTTCATGAATAATATTTTGTTTCTGTAATTTAATGGACTTGTTTACATTGTTTCAGGCCCAACGTATGCGGTTCCCGCTTCCACTCCTATTGTTGTCCAGGATGGAAAACTCTTCCTGCAGGAAACCAGTGTATAGTTCGTAAGTATCTGCTACATTAGTTTTTTAAATTGCATGCTGAAGATGCCACTTACCTACTGTACACTTACCAACATTTTGTGGTCACACTTTATTTTAAGGTCCAATTCTCACTATTAACAACTATGACTTTTGCCTCAATAAAGTCCTAATTTGCTGCTTATTAATAGTTAGTAAGGTAGTTGTTAAGTTTAGGTATGGGGTAGGATTAGGGATGTAGAATATAGTCATTCAGAATATGTGCTTTATATGTACTAATAAACAGCCAATATGTTAATAATAGGCATGCTAATAAGCAACTAGTTAATAAAAAGAATTGGTCCCTAAACTAAAGTGTTACCCATTTAGCCTTAGGCTAACTCGAGGGTACGTCAGGGGGAAATCAGCAACTCTTCAGTTCATTAATTGCTCTTTCTTGAGTTTGACCCCAAGAACTTTAACCACAACACAACCCCCAAGAGATAAAGGCTTAGACTTAAAGGGTTAGTTCACCCAAAAATGAAAATTATGTCATTAATTACTCACCCTTGTGTTGTTCGAAACCCGTCGTGTTTGACCTTCGTTCATCTTCGGAACACAATTTAAGATATTTTTGATGACATCTGAGGGCTCTCTGACCCTCCCATAGACAGTAAGGTAACTACCACGTTCAAGGTCCAGAAAAGTACCAAGATGATCGACA